CCCCAAAACCCCAAAACCCCAAAACCCCAAAACCCCATGAAAATATATGTGAGCAAAAAGTGATATTTGCAAGAATTAAGTATAAATGGTAGTAATATATTTGAAAACTTTAAATCAAAATTACTACTTGACTATAAGTCCATGCTTTTAGAGTTTTTCATAAGCAATCTTCTTTTTGAGCTCATATAAATTATCTTTGAATACTTTTTAGTTAACCTCATTAATCTTCATCCTGACTTCTTTGTTGATTCCATGCAAAATGTTGAAAACATTATCAAAATATTAGTTTTTGCCGATTCCTTCTATAATTTAGAACTATTTATCATAACCTTTTTAATGAATCTTCAAGTTTTTCTAAATTACCTCAATATCATGAGTAGAAATCTAACCTTTTAGCATTTAACATGTAGAGCAATCTTCAGTCAAGTCAACTTCATTTAAGTTGTTTCAGAATATGAATATTATATCATCATATTTCTCACTAGTAATTTCTAGCTTTAAAAGATCTGTCTCATCGAAAAGCATTGTATTGCACTCTATACAAGTAAATAGACAGAACTTAAGAGCTGAATTTGGTTCTTTGAAGAAATTTAAAGAAAGACCTTAATTTTATTATGAATTATTCATCAGATTATAATTTTAATAGTAAAACTCTCAAAAATCATAGTTCATTGCAGATTGTAAACTTAGAATTTGATATTCAGCTTCATGATCCACTCTTTTTCTTTCATACTATATCCTCCAGTAGACTCATCCTCGTAGAGTATCAATTCATTGATAGTATCTTTAATGTCATCTAACTTATATGGATACTGCTTATACTTAGCATTCTCAATTATTGTGTTCATTAATCTAAGAATTTAGGCTCTAGTTTGGGCTTTCTTTTCTCTTTAAATCTCTCTCAAGCAAATATCAATCATCAGATTCAAATCATTGATGTTAAAGTATTCTTTAGACTCCTCTTTTTTCATGATTATATTAAGACATTCCAGACACTTATCAAATCTGTAAACATTTCCTCTGTTAGTGAGGTATAGCAGCTTTTTCCTATAGAAATCTTCTCTATCCATAAACTCTTTAAAAGCAAGATTAGGCTCATGTGTTAAGTTTCCATAATTTTCTGAAGTCATTGTCTCCTCCAATTTCTCTTTTTTCTTTTCATGTCCAGCGCAAATAACTATCAATATGCTGACTAAAGCATTCTGTGTATTTTCATCAGTAATAAATTCAAGGGATGATATGAGTTGCTTGAGGAATTTCTCGCTCACATGATCGATTGTTGTGTCATTAAACACATTTACCAAAAGTATGAAAGCATCTCCAGCCATGTCTTTCAGATCTGTATTTTCTAAATATTTTACTATAGCACCTGGAAATCTCTAGTTATTCAAGAATTGTTTGAGAACCAAGTCTGGTAGATTTTCATTAAGTTTCCTATTTTATAGAAATAATGATTTAATCAATTGAGAAATGATATTACCTCATAACTTTTAATAGTTTCTTTGAAAACTCTACTTCTTCAATGTTGTCTATGAAATTAGCTACTAAGCTATCAACTAGACCAAACTATTTCTAACAAATATTCTCCAACCAAGAGTAAAGATCCTTATTATCTCTCTCTGTATCCAATCTGACCAAAACTTAATAAAGCTATTCAATTTGGCTTTCCATTTTTTATAATACTAATATCACAAGCTAAATAAATTAAAGATTATAATTAAAAGTATTATAATAGCCAATAAATGAGCTAAGAGTTAGGTGGTAATCTTCTATATTTTATGGCAATAAATTTAGATAGACTTTGAAACAGAAAATTTCATTGCAAATACAAAGTTTAGACTAACTGACTGGACTCTAAACCAGTACATGAGCTTCACTGATATTCTAGTAATTTGCAGGTTGTTTGAACTTTACTCTATAGTAATCCGAGAATAATTGTTTAAAGAAAAGATGCTTAGAAGTATTTACAGAATAAGAGATTAGAGACTCCCTTGACCCAATAAAATTAACCCAGGATTTTAATAATTGTGTGCAAAATTGTGAAACAGGAACTCAGGAAGTTATAAAAATGCAGTAAAAGTAGGTTGAGGTAGCAAGGCTGACATATGCTAAAAACATTCAAAGATGTCTAAGCATCCATGGATCGATTGGATCAGGAGAAGGAATGAGCAATGATGAATAGCCAGAAGCATTCAAAGACTATGATCCTGTTGGACTTGCTCACTGCATTACACATAATACGGATAAGGTGGACAGAAGATTCTTTGGATACTACAATAACCAGAAATTAAGACTAGTTAGCAAGTATAACTTTGATTGAGTGGTCAATACAGTCAAAGTAGATGAATAATTAAGTTAATGGCATCTAAATTAATTTCATAATAAATTAAACATTATAATTTAAATTTTAAAACATCTGACAATGACATCCAGGAGAAAACCTAATGACTTCAACCAAAGTATAATAACTATTCAAATAACCTTCAATCTATAGATTATGCGTAAGATGAAGTAATGGAGGATCATATGAATTAATGTAAGCTTTTGATATGAATATATTTATTAGAAACCAATGAGAGACTATCAAATTTATCGAAATCAGTGGGTTTAGTCAAAAAGATAACATTGGACATTAAGAATGTGATGGTGGATGATGAGAGTTTAGTCACTGATATAGATAAGGGATTAATAAAAAATCAGACTATGCTCTCTTAGACAATGGGCCGTATAGATAAAATGCTTACTAGTGCTAGTGGGAATGTACTCTGCTACACATTACTCTTCTTTTTCATGATTCTAGCCTTGTTATATAAATTGACAAAATGAAATAACTGAAGGTGATCATCATTTGCATATATTAAGTTCTTTCATATTAATTGACTAAACCTGTTTATAATTAATTTCATAATTGCTTAAAGTTTTATCGCTAAATTATAATGGAGTCACAGAGAACATCTTAAAATACCAGATCAGTTTTTTTGAGGAGTCTAGTTGAAGCACCATATGTATCTAGCAAACCTCCAAAGTCTCACAGAGGATATTCTTCTCATACCGCCTCTCATCAGGGAATAGATTACTACAAGTCTTTGCAGCTTAACGCCCTCATAGATTAGAAGTCAATCAAACCTTTGCGAAGAGTATAAGTTGAAAGAATTCATAAGATCCTTGAGTCCTAATTGGACAAAGACCTATATGAAATTATAAAGAAAAAAATGGCAGTAAGGCTTCCTAAGATTCTGACTCAGAAAAATGTAGATGAAAGCATAGCATCTAATTAGGTGAAAAATGAGATAAAAAGGAGGAGAAAAATAAGAAGAGATGTTAAAAAGCAGTTTAAACTCGATCTTAGAACAAGTTCATTCCCAAAAACATACACTGCAAATTACTTTGATTCATATGATCCTGAAGGGAAGAATATAATAAACGAGGAATCTTCATCTGCAAGAAAAAGTGCTCGAGCTTAGATTAACTTGCTAATAGAAAAGTCACAAAGAGATAGTTCCCCCTCTTAGAAGAGTAAAGTTCAGTTTTAAAATTAAAAGTTGAGAGGCTCACAGTCATAATAAGCTTTAAATTTCATTAATCAAGAAGATCATTTAGAGGTTTTTAATTTCCATACTTAAGATCATGCAAATACAAAGAATATGACCCTACGATAGCTGATTGAAAAAAGAAAAGCAAATGCAGGGTCACAAACTGATATAAATTTTGTAATAGCTAACAATTAAGAAGAAAAATCAAACCAACAAAGTAAAATTATAAATTAAAAATCAGGTAAAAACATCATCATTCAGCAGAAAAGTATAATCCCAGAAGCTTAGTTCTAATTTGATTTAACTGATTAAAATACTACATAATTCTAATATCAATCTTGGAAATCTGACCAACAGGATGAAGTTAATAAGATTCTCAGAAAAACATACACTCAATAAAGCAACCTCAGTCTTTAAAATGAATAAAAAATCTAGTAATATTTGAGTTCACTGAGGACAACTAAAGTAAAGTAGTTTGAATTTGATGGGTTGGCGAGAGAAAAACCATTTTATGAGAAAATTGATATTGAAAAACTGCTCTTATAAGCCAAAAAAATGGAAAAGAAAAAGCAATTGTTTAAAGTTTGAGAAAATTAAAATTTTCAACTATAGAAGCACTATTATTAATTATCCAAATATATATTTATTGAAATGATTTCTATTAATTCTCTTGTTGGGGTTTTGGGGTTTTGGGGTTTTGGGG